TTGATCCGTTGTTATGGCTTAACGGATTAAAAGACGTACAGTTGGCAGTGTGTTTCTTTGAGTAAACAAAGATGTCATAACGTTCAATTGCGCCCGAAAATTTGTTCTACCATTCCTGCCCAACAGGCCAATTATTATTATTATTTGCAGCATAATAATAATAATCAAATCTTTACCGCGAGCCTGCAGCCATGTAATTGCAATATTGTATTGGGGCAACATTGTTTATAATGCAACATTGCACCTAATATAATAAACGGCTATTCGCATCGACTAAATTGCTTTTAAAATATGAAGCTAATAGTCGTGTGTCGTATGCATTCTTTTTTGTATTCGTCGTCGTCATCGTCACAAACTACACTCATTTGATTGAATAATGAAGTTATGGTTTTAGATTATGTCTTTGTATAAGCTAAAATAAAAGAGTAACGAATGAAGCGAAAAAAAAACACGCACGACAAGAAAAGTCATATGAAAAAAACATACATAATTCAAACATTTTACAATATATTACGAATTGAAATGCCGTGAACATGCTTAATTAGGCCCCCCGTGTTGGATTATGTGTGTGGGCTTCGTTCTGCTCACTCTCTTTCTCTCTCTCTCTCTCTCAATCTAAAAGTCTCTCTCAGAACAATATGTGTGTACACATGTATGTAGCGAAAAAAAAAACATACAACACACGGTGGAAAGAAACAACGACACCGACGACGCCAAGAGAAAGAAGAATAAAAAAAAGGCAAACGCGCGCGCGACTTCTTCGCCATATGAGCACGATTGAACGTGTGTTAGTTTGTATTTGTGTGTCTTTTTGTGTGTGCATACGAGATCTCGCGTATACTTAAATCGACGGCATACGTATAAAATGAATGAGACAGAGAGAAAATTTAGTGCAAATTAGAAGCATGGAACAATAACGAGCCAACTAATACACTCAAACACAGCGAAAAAGCGGTGTGTGGATGTGCGTGAATGCCCATAGGCCGGGTGCGTTTCCAACGTAAATGGAAATGTGTAAAAAAAATGTATGTATGATTCATTCATAAGTTGGTATCAAATAGATCATCATCAAAGAAGTAAGCTACCGATGAGAAAAAAAGAAACAAAAATAAGAGTAAAACAAGAAAATGAATCAGTGTTTTGCTGTTTTTTCCCTTAGTCGTGTGCATTTCTTTCTTGCGGCTATTTGTGGCTTTGAACCTTATTTGACTTTAATGATCCTTTCAATCGAATGAATTCCACATAGATTCGATGTTACACCCGGTCTCGATCGGTCGGTCGGTTGGTCGATTCACATGATTAAGACGCATCGCATTATAACGATATGTAGTGTATGTTGTACCTTGACCTTTGTTTTTGTTGACTATGTGTTTTGACGCCAAATTTTCACATTATACATCGCATTTGCCAAACGAAAAGCAACGAAACAACAACAAACACGGAAAAATTGATGTGAATAATGCCTGAAAGTCATGAGTGTGCGCTCGCATCCGCACAACCACACACCAAATTCAGTGTTACTCATTCAAAAATTCTTTCAGTCTAATTATTGTTTCATCAAATCTCATCCATGCCGACAAATCATGCCAACTAAAAGGCGCACAAAATATGTAAATTGGTTAGCATTTTTGTGAGCCATAAACAACCTCATTTCAAAAATTCAATTTACAATCACACACATTTCACAATGCTATGCAGAGTGAGCGAACGCGACGTGCTTGCTCAAACATATTTGATACATTACTCTCTCTCTCTCACACACACACACACACACACACACACACACTCGAACCGACACCGGCACACGATAAACAGCTCATTTCCCATTTTCTAAAAATACACATACGTCTATTATATACTCGTACAATACGCCTTTTTCCATATGCAAAACAATTTTCTTACGTCTACGATAATTTCTCGTCATGTGGATTGAATCTTTTTGCCCCGAATAAATAATTCGCTGGCCGTTCGTTAACACACAATTGTCGGAACTTGAAAAGGTGAAGAACACGCAAAAAAGCGCGCACACACACACACACCAACAGCAATAAAAACGAAACGAACAAAAAAAACTACAAACAAATGTTCAATTGCAATAAAATGACGGGTGCTAACACCACAAATCGAAAATCACTGAACACATTTCTGGTTTCACATTGAATCTTCTGCTTGTAATCCTGTAATTTAAATTCAAACATAGTAAATGACTAATTTTTTTTTCAAATCATTTGGCTACCAAAATTGCATTTCATTTTCTCAATTGTTCGATTTCATTGATTTCCTTTTTGTATTTTTAAACACCCTCACGTTTCCGCACGCATGCACGCATACATACCTACTCTCACTTCTTGTCTGATGAGAAATGCAAAGTTTAAAAAAGCATGGAAAAAAAAACGTAGTTGTGATTTTAATTGAATATTAAAAATTAGCTCGGGGGATTCAGGGCAATTGAGTTGTTTACAATTGCATGGCGCCATCGTTTCACTTCGCTACTCCAATCCGCTATATGCATACGAGTACATTTTTGCCGAAGAATGTCTACGAACGTTTAATAATAATCATTTTTATCTCTCGTAGAACGATATTGTAGATCCTTTATTAACGCCCATAAAATGAAACCGACTGATTTTTACAGCAATTTCAAAATCAAATGAAGAAGAGGACCCGCGACACAAGCATCGAACTCTCTATCTCTTCTGCCTCTCTCACTCGCTTCATTGACTGTGTGGCACAATGTTACATGGAATTTAATTAGCAATAAACACAATAAACCCAAATAAAGGAGTTCTAGACATATCAACACAACGTCGACACATAGACTTTATAACAAACACCAACAATGAAAAGAAAATGAAACGTAAGCGAGAAAAGAAATTACAGCAAATTTCGAATGGGATGAACTGAAACGAAATAAATTTATGTGTTTTTTGTTCGCATTGTGCGATGTGTATAAATTGTAACGTCGAATACGTGATGTTGAACTATTCGAAGGGCTTAAAAACTGGTACATTGTGCACATACACCAGTCATAATGGTCGAAATAACAAACGAAAAGGATAAAAAAAAATCATTTGTTTTGTATCAAAAGCCACACTTATACAATCACACGACATGTGTGTACGGTGTTTTTGTGTGTGTGTGTGTGTCAATGAAAACGACACAATTTTCGAAAATTGAGTAAATAGAGCTATATAATAATGTCTTGCTTCATAGAATTTTCTGCAATCCATTTCAATTCACATTTTGACGATCGTGACGTGCACTCTACGGTATCGAGGGTGTGTTCATTGCTAAAATTTAATAAGGTTAATTTTTTTCTTCCCGTTTGTTTCACGGATGTCACACAAAATGAAATTGCAATTGTAATCATGAATGAAGTATCGCGAATGAAATGTGGAAGGACAATAAAAATGAATACACACAGAGAGATAGAGATAGATAGAAATGGATGGAATAAAGGCGAAACGACAAATTAACATCGGGGTTAAACCTCGCCGCCCCTTATTGCTCTACAAAAATCTACATTTATTTAACGTATTTGAACATGTACTCTATCGAAGAAACACTCAATTAAATGTCGCCTCTTTGTTTGGTATTAAAATGATGTTACTGCATTCAGATAATTCGCTTAATGTTCTTGCTCTTAACTTTGTAGTTCACCGAACAGAAGAATTTCAATTCGATCGCAAATATGCAAACCAATGTACGAATGGAATTTGGCAAAGTATATTTTAAATGAAATTCATGTTGGTTCGTTTTGCTATTTATAATGTTTTCGCTTAATGTTTATGGGTGGCAATTTGCTGAATTCACGTTCGAGCATATATACTCTATATATTTTTAATGGCAATAATTTTTGTGTTTTGTTGGTGTAGATTTTATTGCTTCGTAGTCCATGGACGAAAATCGATGAGTCTATTAAATGTGTGTAATCGATGTACAAACACTTTTTTAGCTGTTCAAAAATTTATTTGAAATGTACATGGCATGAAACATAAGACGACGACGTCAACGCTGAAGGCGACAGACGGCCACAATCAATTGATATTGTGTAAACGTAATGGCTCGAATCAAAGTACAGCCAATAAAGCACCACACGTTATCTCATGTTCACACTCTTAAATCATATATAAGGCAGTGTAATTGCGTGTCGAAGGGAGAGAAACGAGAAAAAGAAGAAAAAATTCGCTACTTCACCATCAAGTGAACGATAGAATAAACCAACATAAAAAATGCATCGTATAACGACGCCAAATGGTAATCAGCCAAGTAAATAATGGGCCAAGAGAAAGGGTGGGGGGGGGGGGAAGGGTGATAGTAAAAAAAAATACATTGTTTATCTTTAGATTTGTCAAATGTGTTTTGTTACACTTCTCTGCCTTTGACACGCTCTGTTTGTACAAAATTAAAAAAAAAACTGCTCAAACATACGTTTCGAATGCGATAACAATAAATGATGTTAAGATTTTTCTCGTTTAAAAAAAGGGTGATTTCTCTCTTTTTAAAAAAATGTTAGAGTAACCATCATCCCACAAAATGAATTAAATTTATTGGTTCTGTGTGTAAGGTGTGCCGTACACCACACATTTCTGAATCCATGTTCAATACAATATAGCAGCGAAAAATCAACAAATCAACCGTTGGACTAATCGATTACTGGTGCTAAGCAACACACATCAAATATTGCCGATTCGATTTCATTATCATTTTTGAAGCGATGTTTGTTTCTCTGCCAAGCGGATGGCTCGGCTGCGTTGATGAAATAAGAAATTTGTCAATTTTGAACACAATAACAATCAAAGTGAATCATCAAAATTTGCACAAGGGGTGCAACATTTTGACAGGGTTGCAATTGTATTAATTTTAAAGCGTTGATAATCAATTAAATGTTAATAATACTTGCCTTTTCTATTTCAAATTATTTCTTCTTTATTCACGCATTTTAACTTACGAATGACAACAAATTTAAATAACAAATCCCTTTTCTTTTCTCATTTCAGGAAGAAGTAAGTACACCTTTACAAATCACCAATTGGAAACAACGAACTAGACAATACTCTGGGTTTGAGACACGCACAATTCTTGTCAAAGTTATACAAACTATTCGACTTTGTTAACCAGATCCACCCAATTTTGATTTGCTCGAAATGAATTATTTAAATGGGTTCCTCGCTCTCTTTGAGGCGCACACACAGTCATTGCAAACATTTCAGAAATCTCGTAAAAAGAATCTTAAGAGCTACCTTTACGTGCAGCCTACATGACAGACTCCAAAACATTTAAACTCAATAAATCATTCGGGTGTACGCTTTCCGTCAATGAACAATACAAACAATATTACATTCAAAAGTGAAACGTTTTTGGTTTTCAAAAGAGTGAACATGAACACATTTATTTAACCTTTACAATAGTTTTTGCGATCTTTTTCTTAGGAGAATTGAATAGAATTGTAGATAAAAAGAGTTAAAAAGTTTTGTATGTAATATTTTTTACAGTTCGGTTCATTCGAACCACGTTAGGTTTTCATCAATTTCCTACTAATTTATGAACCCCTAAATTTTCTCCTAATTTATGAAATACGGCAATTTCGGCGTTTTTTCAACGATTTGGGGTAAGGACATAATATAATTTGTCCCATTAAAATAGAAAGATGGATGTGTATCAGGCATGGCTTCTGGAGTTGGCGATCCAAGGGGGGTAATTTCAAAATTTTCCAAAAATGTAAAAGAATAACTTTTTCGATTCGGCCTCGCACAAATTCAAAAATGCATTTTTGAATAGTTCATTCCTAGGAGGGGGGTGTCTCAGAGCATTTGCCTTAAAAAACCCTAGCAAATTGAAAGATTTTTCTCTTCGCCCAAAAACCCTAGCAAATTGAAAGATTTTCCTTCGCCAAAAAACCCTAGCAAAATTGAATATTTTCTCCCGTTTTAAACAGTGAAAAAAAAGGTCTCGCGAAAATACTTGGCAAATCGAAAGAATATTTGTCTCGAAAAAATTAAATTTCTAAGGGGGTAATTCCCAAATCTGTTCTCCAGAGGGGGTAATCCAACCCTTCGGACCCCTGCTCAGAAGCTATGGCATCAGGTTTGGTGTCAATACTTTTTCCAACTTTCATCTGCATGTGAAACATTGAATATTCGATGGTATTGCCAAACCTCGAAACCGACCGACCGAACAAAAAAAAATGTCGATATATGAATAGGTAAATATGTCTTGCACTAAGAGTCAGGTTTAATGGTGTTTTCGTCTCTAGTTTAAAGATTCAAAGTGAAAATTCTTGAGATTTTGCACTGTTCAACATAATTACATATATTCGGTGTGCGGCGTACAAATATTATAAATGAACGCTCGATTAAATGTTGCACGAACATTTCGAAAGTGCTTCTTTTACATCTTAAGACGATCTTCTCCAAAACACACAATCTTTGAGTTTCTCTTTCTCTTTCTTTCCGTCTGTCTACTTCATTCCGTCTCCAGACGCACAAATGAATAAGATTAATGAATTTTTCTCCGTTCAATCGGTCCAAAATGACTGAATCATGACACGGTAAAGTTTTATTAAAAAATTTCATTGTAAAACATGTAAGCGAGTCCCTTTCTCTTTCTCTTTCTCTCGCGTGTCCGCTTTTTCACTCATTTGCTTATGCTTTTGCGCGTATATGCTCTACTTACGGAATATTAGTGGATTTTGTGTGCCTTCGGGACTAAAACATATCAATCAATTTCTTTCGTTAAAACTGCAAGTTAATAGTTTCTTATTGCTTCAGCTTAATCTTTCGCTTAATTGCTGCGAAAGTGAGAATATTTGCGTTATACTCAGACCCGAGCATATGTCGAGTGCATTTCAAGTATTTGGATGATTTAATGTTGTATTGTAAAATGATTTGCAGGTCCACGAGCCAGGCGACCAAAAAAAACGACTGATAAAACTGTAAACGACGAAAAGCGACCAAGAACTGCATTTAGTGGTCCACAATTGGCCAGACTTAAGGTAAATAAAAACGGCTTTTTTCTTCTCGATTTGACTTTTTTGTTTCAATCAACCGGCTAAGCCTATGAAGAGACAAAATGCGAATTCCCCTCATCTGTGCCATCTTGTATTCCATAGTTGAACTCAATTTAGTTACAATGAATTGAATCGAAAAAGAGAAAAAAAACAACAACAGTAACATGGCTACATAGATCTGTTGACCAGTGAGATACGTATAGCAATGGAATGAAAGAATGAAGAAAGCGTATATGTGTATGTATGCATCAGCACGCATAGATGTACAGCTCTGTGTGGCCGTGCTATTGTTGTTGTTTTTTCACTTTTTCATTTCAATGCTACAGAATTAAATTCAGTTTTTGCATCTAATTCACACTAAAATCAGATGGCGCTCATTAGCGAGATTCGCAAAAAAAAGTCTCCAATCTCATACAAATATACACCGGCTGGTTTCAATACATTACATTTATAAGAGTAATCTAGAAAAAACTCATCGGTTTTTCGGAATGTTTTTGTTTTAAATCTGTTTTTATTCGATTTGTGCTATAGAATGAGTTTGCCGAGAATCGATATTTGACTGAACGTCGTCGTCAACAATTAAGTTCGGAATTAGGTTTAAATGAGGCTCAGATAAAGATTTGGTTCCAAAATAAACGAGCGAAAATAAAAAAATCATCGGGTCAAAAAAATCCATTGGCATTGCAGTTGATGGCACAAGGACTTTATAACCATTCGACGGTGCCGTTGACGCGAGAAGAAGAAGAATTGCAAGAAATGCAGGAACGAGCCAATGCCGAAGCGGTTTCAACAAATATCTCAAATATCCAATCAAATGAGCATGCAGACGACGATGATGACGATGATTGAAGGAAACAATTGGTTCACCACTGATCGCACTTAATTCAGTCTAGGTTTGCGTAAATTTTCGTCACAAATGAAGGGAAAAAGAAAACAATGCAATTCTCAAACAGTTGGTACTGAGCGGCGACGAAATAAAAATGAAACATGTACAAAATGGCTTGCATAAAACCATTAAAATAGTGATAAATTACGTATTATTAGGAAAACACACATACACAGTGAATTTAATTGACGGCCGAATTCTTTGTAAATATATAATTTAATGAGTTGAGAGAGAAAGAGAAAAAATTTGGCGTAAATTAATTTAATTGTAATTGTAAATAAATACCAAAGCAATAAAAGCATTTCATTTTTTTTTGTTCGTCGGGACGGTGGGATCGCATGGAACTGATTGTCTGAAACAAAACAAAAAACTAAATAAATAATAAATTTCTCGATTGTTTGCAAATGCCAATTTACTTCACAGTTTCTTAAATCAAGAAATCAATTCGAAAGATTAAAATCACATAAATTACCAAACTCACATTGAATTCAACAAATTTCATTTTCCTCTCACGTGTTGCATTCGTCGATCTCTTAAAATAATTTTATCGAAGTAATTTGATTTTCCACACACTAAACAAAGAAACAAAAAACCGATTTTAAATCGATATGCATATGGTTGTGTGAAATGTGTCATCCCATAAATGCATTTGAAATTCAATGCGGTGATTTTCAATTGAAAATAAAATGAAATAAATGAATATTTAGCGCACAGTGTAAATTGCGTGTGCGCCCAGTGTGTTCATAACAAAAGAGTTTCCATGTACGCACGACACATATTTCATGTGCAGCAATCTTTCAAAATATTTAACGATCAACACATTGTGTTTAAAATTTAGATAAGAATAGCAATACCAATGTTTTTATATATACATGTATGAAGCAGAGAGCAAGAAAAGAACAAACCAGAGGACTAAACAAAATATATATGCATCCTTACCTATATATACAATGAACATAACAAGAAAAAATTATTGAAAATCAACGATAGAATCATACGCCTTACATTTCGTAAGATAATGATGCTTATAAAATAAAATCGTAAAAATTGAAATGTGCATTTCTCGTGTGTGTATGTGCCAATCGCATGACATCGGAAAAATAAAATATCAATCGTTTTTGTGGGAGCAAATTCGATTAACATTTTTTAATATATTCGTCATTAAAATCCCGACCATAACAAAATTCCATTATGAATCAACGGGATGAAAAATATTTTAATCTCGTGTCATTTGCTGAAATTGAATTTTCCCTCATATTCCTCTGATTCGTTCGTTTCCAATGTTCCTTTTCCCATATTGATTCGTTTGGTACGCATTTTATCCAATAGCCATTGTTCTAAATCAACTTTTAAAAAAAACCAGTCAAACACGATAAAAACGTTCGATTTCTATGATGAACAATTAAATGGAAATAAACGTGTGTCATTTGCAATTTTTAACATACAAACAAACATATATACAATATACATATATTTATTTTTTAGTGAAATTATATAAGACAAGAGCGAACCATTTCATGAGTTTGCCAAACAACTATTTTGTACAGATTCAAAATGCAAATGTATTCGGAAATGCAATAAATAACATATATAAAGTTCGTTTTTAAGAAAAGAAAAAAAAAACCTAGCAAGAGACTCCAATATGAATTACTTAAATAAAAATAGACAAACAAACAAAAAAAATCATCGTTTCAAATGTTCAACATGCGAAGCATACAATAATTAACAAATAATAATAATGTTCATTGTGTTTTTAAACCAATCCAAGAAAAGTTTTTAAAGAATGCGTTCGTAGATCGAGTGACAACAATATTAGAAATTATTTCGACTTAGAAAATTTATTAATTTATCACAAACCAATAATTATAATATTAATAATAATAAATGAATAATAATAATATAATTATCAAAAGAAGAAGAAAAAAGAAAGAAAACAACAACAAAAAGTCAGCAAAAGCTGTGAAAACATTTATTTTCAATTTTGTGTGAAAATATATTGCTATATATACAGATAGATTTGAAGCTGCGATTTGAAGAGAAAACTGTTTTATTTGATTGAATTGAAGTGAAAGAAATTAAGTCTAAAGCAAAAAAAATATACACAATATATACAAAATAATCGAATTTTCGTATTTATTTTCAGTTAATTGCGATGAGATAGTAAAAATTTCACCAAATGTAATTGATTTTCATTCTACTTTTTCACACATTTATACTTTGATCCCTGTTTGTATTCATATTTCATTCGAAATAGTATTGCTCTTGATATACAGATAAAAAAACGCGATTCATTCATTGGATATTGGCATGCATTAATAAAAGAAATACTTCGTCTTAAGGAAATAATACCCTATGCCATTTATATTTTATTATTACGATGTGAAATACATACAAAAAAGTCGTTTGCTTCTTGAATAAGATGGCCATTTATTGAGCAGTCCATCAAAGGACGCAACGGTAAGTATACATGTGCGCTCCGTGCATACCCGTATATGGTGTACAGACACGAATTTAAATGTACGCCCAATACGTTATTATAATTGCACAATTCAAGCCCAATTGCTTTTGGTTTAAAGCTTCCACCATCAGTGTGAAGGCAAACAAGGTCGAACAAAAAGGTATCCAGCTGAAGCGCAGCGGTAAGTATACAATAAAAAAAGAACTCTACCTTAATTTTCTTACTTAATTAATAGAATTATTCACACCATTTGCCACACTCCTAAACATCCAATAACTAAAACAGTTGAAAGCGATTACTGCGCGCTCTCGCTCTCACTCGCCAAAACGGTAACCAAAGTGGCTAAAGTGTTGGGTTTTCTGAGAGCGTGTCGAAGATCCATTATAGCCGGTCGATTTTCAATTATAACCACATTTTATTGATTCGAATCTTTGCCGTTTCGGAAGGTTTTTCCGTTGTTTGTTCTCTTTTTTTATTATTATCACACACACACATGCCACTTCAATCGATGATATCGCAATGGAATTGTGTCAATCCTTTGGTATATTCCATTAATATCTGCTCATCGTTTTTCACATGCAATCGCAATTCTGATATTTCCCAAATAATATAATTCTTTTTTTTAACTAAGTTCCATTTCGGTGTCCATTTGTAATGAATAAACAGTGGCTGGCCGCACGCTTGGCAATATAAATACCGTATAATATGTGTGTAATAAAATATTATTATATTATCAATATTGATGTGATGCGATTGATAATCGAAACACAGAAATCATAAAGTATGTACACGCGCGGCGCGGAGGGATTCAATCTTAAACGATCATTTAATTATACATATAATTGAGTTTGAAAAATTTATTGCAATTTTTTTTGTATTGTTTATTTTCTTTAATATAATTAATTTCATCATTGATTCCAATCGCATTCGACCCCATCGACACACGATCATCAACGACTAGCGCGCGCACATTTTTAATCGTTATAAAAGACTATCAAGATAAGCAAACGCAACATTGTCGAGTGAGTGATTTTGATTAGTTCGAATGGCCGTTGATTAAACCTGATAAACAACATGTTAGGGCAAAATAGTGTGCATACAAAAAAACGAATTCGAATTACTTTGAAAAAGGTAACAAAAATTATAATGCACACTTGAATGCTTCAATACCAAATTGAATGTAACACGTTTAGGAGAGAGAGAGAGAGAGAGAGAGAGAGAGAAAAATATACGTGGACGAGGTTACGAATCTAAATGGCATGAGAGATTGAGTTGAAAGATCGAATCGATTGACATCTATCAATTCTCAATCGCTTAATTCGTTTCAAAGCTCACTCAATATTAAGAACTCAGATTTCAAACGGCTCGACCGACAACGCTGCAAATACATTTCGATCCAATACAGTGGCGGCAACACCGCGCGTAAACCGACTCTGTTTTAATAATAATTGTATAATAAATTAAAATGTATATACATTTGAGGCACACTGCGTTGAACAGTGTTTGTATGCATTGCGTTTTTAGACGGTAGGCGCTTTTTTTTCTAACTACCTTGTTAGAAAAAATCATACTATATATAAAAAGAGTATTGTACTTTATTACACGGCAAACCGTATTTAATTGAACTGGTTTCATGTTCACGTTCATCGCTCAGTCCATCAATACTGGCTCATGTATTGAGTTGCATATTACAGTGTATAATGAATCTATATTGAAAATATGCGTATACAATAGCACAATTAAATTGGCAATAAATATACGGCGCTGAACTTAGACATCTAAATATATAAACAGGCTTCTCATACCACACAATTCATAATATATAATCTTAATTAAGCAAAAAAAAAAAAGAACGCAGGCAATCATACAATGTATAGGGTTTTTGTGTTTCTCCTTCAAGACTTTTTATTAAATCATGTTTATTATCGTTAAGCGCAAATATACCGCTTTTTTCAATTCGATTTTTCATTTGTTTTCCGTTTAATTAGTGGACATTCAATTCAATTCTCATTAGGCTCACTTAGGCTAACTTATTAGGTTAATATTTATTTTTTTAATCTCGGTCTGAGATATATAATAATTGAAATCGTAAATCGGCCTATCAAATTAAAAAATGATTTTGATGTAATTATGCTTTTGTTTGTTTTATTGATTGATAGTAATGAGAGAATAGACGCACAATGTTTAGAAAATAAAAACTCGTGAGGCACACCTTCCAATAAACTAACCAACTTACGCGCATACATTTGCAATGACAACGACAACAAAAAACTAAACCTTGGTTCTTTGGATATATGTAATTTGGTTTGTGGCACATTAATAAATGTCCAGATTTTGTGATCGCTGCCTCTTCCGAATTAGACACCTAATAGCGCTAACATAAGTGTTTTTTTTCAGTTACTTATTATCCGATGGCAAACAAATCGAAACGAAGATTGAAAGAAAAGTCGAGAAAAGTAAAGAGAGGGAGAACATAAACGATATTCATATTAGAGTGCTTCGATTTCGATATTTTAAAAAATGAATTTCGAATGAAAATTCGCAAAAATGGTCCTTCTCCGTTTTAAAAATGTGTAGTGGGGGGTTTTTTGGCACGAGAAAACCGAATCTGATTATAGTTTTGCGATACAAATAATTTTCGACACACCAAAAGTCACCAAAAATTTGGATTTTTGAATGGTAGCCATGCCTGTATGAGATCGTAATGACGTGAAACTTTGCACAGGTTATTTTTTTTACAAAAAAAAATTACATTCTTAAAGTTTAAAATAAATTCAATACAATTTTTGGTTAAAAATGGCAATTTTGTATGGAAGCTATCCCCAATTTGCATTAAAATTACTTCAAAATTCTAGAATGATTTTTTTATACTGGAAAAAATCATTTTTTTGTCAAATCTGTTGTAGCAGTCGTTCTTTCATGACCTTCCCACAGAGGAACCTTAGATGCGATTTTTGTTATTCCAAACAATGTCAAAATCGAACCACTCTACTATATATGTACTTATCCAATTTCAAAGATGAAAAACAATCAGTCGAGCGTTAAAACGAAATCGTGTTATATACAGAAAAATAATACACAAACTAATATGATATTTACATTTTTCGTCTCATTTTATATTCATTCAGTTTTGGAGTGGACGATAGTTATTTGCTAGATTAAATATGATTAATGAACATAAATACACCACTGAACATGGAAATGTGATGAAAAAATAAAATAAAGAACAGACGACTAATAGTAATAATAAAAATGAATGTATGTGTTAAGCTCATCTGACTGCTGTCAACCGAATCGATTTGGTGGTGGGATATATATTATTGAAGCGCCAACCGGACAATTTAAAACGAGAGATACGGTGTGGTTGTTTTTTTTTTCTTCGTTTTATCACTTGAAAACTAAGACGATAAATATGGAGATGCTATTTGATGAATTTATTGACATAGCCGCACGCGCTCATAACCATCGCGCACACGACATTGATTGAATGCGTTCTCGCAATAAACCGTTGCGTAATCCAAGTGGTTGTTGTACTCACTCATACTTTGCGCATGATCTATCGTCTCAATGAAACGGTCAATATGTATATATTATGTTTTCTCTCTGTGTGTTTTCAGTTTCGATTCGATTCGAAATGTATTATTATTTGCTGTTCATCAACAAAACCAAAGATGTTACGGCAAACAGTAGCTCAAGCGATGCAATGTTAAAGTAGGCAAGATTTACTGTGAAATTATCACGCACGCCAAAACAAAAGGTGAAATTGGGTACGGTGCACGCGTTTAAATATATATTTATTTCTCTTGTACACTCACATGTTGAAGACGAAGAAAAAAAAAACAACAACACCACGGCAAAGAACAAAATCACAAACCAAATCGCTCTCATTTTACTTAGCGCAGCAAATACAACAAGTTAAGAAGAAAGGACCGCACGCATAGCGCGGAAATGTGAACAGATATTTTGGATTAAGGAAGAAATCATCATCATCATTTTTGTACGTGTACGATGGTCGTATTTCTCTTTTTTTTCGATGCCTTTCCATTACAAACTGAAGCGACGAAGTCCGTTGCTTTTTTTAATGAATGCATGTATGCATATAAATTAAGATAAAAGGATGATTCAAGGAGACAGAAATGGATTTAACGGGTGCACAAACCAATGGGCGCAATCACATGCGAAATCAATCTGAACGAAAAAATAACAACGTCAGCTCATTCGCAAATAAATGCATGAGAATATCCTTGGCTTTTGAGTCACTCGATCTCAATCCGTTCCCTTCAATCACAATTTTTGCCACTGTGCGCCACATATACATATGAGATCACTCAATCGCTCTATGCCCCTCTTCCCCCTCGCTCTCTCTCTCTCTCTACAGTT